GTCGTCGACAGACTCTACCGAGGCAGTGGTGCTCAGCGACTGGTTCCACCGCGGCTCGCGTGAATCAGTCAGACGTAGTCCATCCTTGGACTGCTCAACCTATTACTGGTAACCAGCTATCACCCGGTTCAGCTCAATTTAGTGCAAACTGGCTAAGTAGCATTTCCTTTTCCTGCTTCTCCTGTTTTTTTTGGATCTTCTTTTCGCACTATAGATTCTGCTAGACAATTTCCCATCATTTTTTGAGTTTTTTTGGACTGCTCAACGAATTAAATTTTTTTTCTCCTCAATGATTGCTGTCTGCTCACCCTGATAATTCTATTCACTACTAAGTTAGTACGTCTCGTGACTGTCACCTCACTAGATTCTTTGCACTGCTACTAATCCACCCAAGCCTTATCTACTCTTACGATGAATCCAGTTCACCATAGAGTCCTGTTGGTTCGCCGTCGAGCGGAGCTGATCAGGACGTTCCATCAGGAACTGCTCAGGGAATTCTCGTATCAGCGTAGTGTCTCCGGGCTCCAGAAGGATCTGGAGATGCTGTGCAAGTACTGAGTCAAAGTCAAGTCAGCTCACAAGGCAATCGTTGAGGGAACCGCTTTAGGGGACGCGAGCGTCCTAGCCTACCTTCGGGAGGAATTTTTCGGGTCGATGATGGACCTGTACGTTCAGGCACGTCATCGGCTTCACCAACGCATGAATGCGAGAGAGACATCGACGCATTCAATTGGACCAGCTCAACCATCTCCCACTTCTGCATCAGCATCATCATCATCGCTTTTGTGGGAAACCGCCGTCAGCTCACTGACATTCACCTCGACCGACTGATGAACATTTCGATTGTGAACGCTCGGCCCTCACAAGAGCTATGTGAGTTAATCGATGCCACCACTGAAGCCCTTGAGGCGCTAAGGAAACGCGGATCACCAGTTGATGACTGGGGCCAAGTGGTGGTCCATCTCCTGGTTCCACGCCTTAACGATGAGGACAGGAAGGTTTGGGAGACCAGGATCCAGGACAAACTTGAGTTTCCATCCCTGACGAAACTCTTATACTTTATCAACGAACGTGCCCTGGTGATGAGGACTCAGGAACTCGAGGCTCAGCTTGGACTCACACCAGAGAAGGTTGCCACAACGGTCCCTCCGTCCGGAGACGTCCCATCCGGATCAGCAGGAATCACATAAGGCGCTCTTGTGAGAGCCATCAAACCCGCACAAGTTCAGTCAGCTCAACGAATCCTCGAGGAACACGGCAATTCAGCTTCGCCTCCCAAGGTTGATTCACCACAGCTCATCACTCAACCCCAGGGAGCTCTAGAAGCCGCTCATAGACCAGCTCGAGGTGATACCCACACCTCCCAGAAGACTAAGCCCTCACAGTCTACACAGCCAGCTACACCTGGTGCAAAGCACACTTATCCATGCTCCAAGTACGAGGGAGAGCACTACATCACGGCCTGCTCAGATTTTAAAAGACTCACACTAGAGGGCAAGGGAGAGATAGTTTACCTCTGCTACAATTGTCTCAGACGGCACCTCGATCGCGATTGCCGTTCCAAACTTCGATGCCATATCTGCGGATCATCTCATCACTCACTTCTGCATCCACCCACACCAGCTCCAGCTCATCAAGCAGACATGACCAGCAAGGCAGCTGTTCAAGTCAGAATCACACGATCGTCACAGACTACCTCGTGCGCAGAGGAAACCGAATAAGATTTCCTCCAATCATTGTGCAACCACGTTTCATCGGAGAGGCATCTCCTAGGTTCAGCTCTTCTAGGAAGTCAGCTCAAGAAGCGTCATCGCGAATCGTTTAGATAATTCATCGGTCCTCCTCATAACGTTCACCTCCTCACGTCAGTCTGCTCACGGCTCGGCAACGTCATCTCGAGCCGCTCGTCTCCAATCATTAAAGGCACTACTCTGAAGGTTCTGCTCTTCGCATCATCCAGATCATTTCAACGGCGCCGCTCTCAGGTTTCGGCCCTGGGCTTAGGTCATTCGTCGGCTCTGCAACGTCACGCGAGCTGCCCAAGTCATTTCATCAGCGCTGCCCTCAGGTTTCGGCTCTGGGCTTAGGTCATTCGTCGGCTTTGCAACGTCATGCGAACTGCCCAAGTCATTTCATCAGCACTGCTTCAGTCCCGACCCTGGGCTTAGGCCATTCATCGGCTCTGCAACGTTACGCGAGCTGCCCAGGTCATTTCATCAGCACGGCTCTCAATTTTTTGGCTCTTGGCTATTTCTCAGCGACCATAAAATTTCAGCTCCATATGCTTTTTTTTCAGCTGCTACCAAAATTTCAGCTTTTCATTTAATTTTCAGCACTGTTCTCAGGTTCGACTTTGGGGTTAGGTCATTCATCGGCTCTGCAACGTCACACGAGCTGACCAGGTCATTTCAGCAGCGCTGCCCTCAGGTTTCAGCTCTAGGCTTAGGTCATTCGTCGACTCTGCAACGTCATGCGAGCTGCCCAGAGCATTTCATCAGCACTGTTTCAGTTTCGGCCCTGGGCTTAGGTCATTCATCGGTTCAGCAACGTCACGCGAGCTGCCCAGGTCATTTCATCAGCGCTGCTCTCAATTTTTCGGCTCTGGGCTTAGTTCATCCATCAGCTCTGCTACGACAAGCGCGCTTCCCAAGCCCTCTCTTCAGTACTGTTCTCAGGTTTCAGCCTTGGGCCTAAGTTATCCATTAGCTCCGCAACGTCACACAAGATGCTCAGGTCAGTCATCAGCGCTGCTCTGACCTTAATTCTGGGTTTAATCAGCTCATCTACAGTTCACTACAAAAAATCAGGATCACTTCAAAGGTTACACTTCGTATCAGGGGCCCGGCTTAACGGTTTCACCACTTTCACATGGTTGGTTTCCAGGTCCTCGTATCTGGTCAGCAAAACCAAGAAAGGCTCATCGACACCTCAGCTCATTGGGTGAACATTACCTACTCATATTTAATCATGAACATTTTGATTTTATTTTTGTTAGAGTTCATCATAACAGGTCATTACCGTAGAATCAGATCACCAACTTGAAAGGTGCTGATGGCGGGAGAGAATGTTGGAAATCCGTCGATAACGGGTTCACACCGACACACTTGCTCGGCTGACCTTCGAGGGCGGTACCCTACGGACAGCTCCTGAATTTTCTCACCCCACCCCGCACACGCACAACGACGCATCGCGCCCGACTCACTGGTTTTTTCCGGATGTGATTTCGCACACCACGTGTAGATTCGACCGCTCAGTTTTTTCATCTATTATCATTCCGCTCATTATAGTACAGCTCATTATTGTTTAAACAATGCTCAGTTTATTAATTGTGTTATTTCTTTCTGTACATAATTGACTCATTGAAACTATTTAAGCTGCTATTTAGTGAAAATATCCGTTTTTTGTTGAAACCACGTGCAGTGATTATTTCAATTCGCGCATCAACTCCCGAAATCCATTACTTTCTAAATCATCGTTCATCCATTCAACCAATCCAGGCCATCTCATCAAACAGTATTCTTTCAACCATTCTTTATTCTTCATTTTTTCACCAGAGGGACACCTTTCGTCGGAATCTTCACTGAAAATCTTGCGATGGCAGCACTGTTTCCGATTATTTTCGCTCCACGTGGTCTCCTCCATTGGACCCTTTAATCACTTCACTCCTCTTTCTGCTTTAACCGTTGTGATCTTTGCACTTCTCTTCCTCATTTGACTGTGGCAATCGCTTTTCTCGTCTTTCCGATTTGCCATCAATTATCTGGCATGAGTTTGTTAAAATAGGCGAGATTTACAAATGGTCGACAAAGTTAATTATTGACTCAATTTTTTTTTCAGAAAATGGAGATGAATGGGTCAAGAGAATAAATGTGTTAAGAAAATCAAAACCCAGGGATTCATCGCTAACAGGATTGATTTTATGAAGTACGTATATAAGTACTTGTTTTTTATAACAAAATTGATTTCTAAACCGTGATTTACTGTATTTTCTCGAGAAACATATTAAATTTAATACTTAAAAAAAGTAAGGGATATACACACGATGAAGGAAAATTTCAACATTGCTTTTAGCTGATGAAAATTGTGTTCAGGAGAAGAGAAAAGTTGAAATGTAAGTCTGTATGAACTCTCAACCAGTCCAGAGGACATGAAAGATGAGGAACATGGAACTAAGATAGAACTGCTATCCTGGGAACTTCATGGATCCTCATAGCAGTCGCGCAGCAAGATCTCATCATTTTTCATTATTTATTTTTGCATATAGGATACATAGCCCCATTGGAGGGGAAGGTAACATACGAAGTATTTGTACAAGAATTTTCATATTTGGCATCATTAGATGAATAAAGGAAGCAATAATTGAGAAAAAGAAAAAGGAAAAATATCACGAAGAACTAGTGGTCTTATTTAGGAATACCAGAAATGGAAGATAATGACTGCTGCACTAACATGCACAGAACCTTGATCATTTTTGCATAGAGCGTAGTGGGACAGTCAGCAGATCAATGTTTCGCATGAAAATTGAACATTTTAGAGTAAATTTACAGATAACTTTAACTTTGCTAATATAGGTATTGAAAATGATATTTCCTAATGAACGTTTAGAAAAGTGAAAAAACCCATCAAGACGAACCGCACGAAAGTTAACCGTAACTGGACAGCTGAGGAAAAAGTGATCGAGAGTATCCAATTCAGCAGAGGCTAAGGAACGATAATTAAAATCATTCCAGAAGGCTTCATACACTGCAAGAAATAAAACATCTGTCCTTAAGGTGTAAAATTTTCAACAAACAGGGTTTTCTAACTAATTCTCCTAGATCTATTCATTCGTAAGATAAGAAGTAACTTAAGACCTTTAAGGAATAAACCTGTTCATACCGCAGAAAGGAGATCAGTCTTATACGCAGGTGGGGCTTGACAGTTTTCTCCTTCTCAAGTATAGACAGGTAAAGTACACTGCTCCACGACTAAATTGAATAATTATAAATTTTTATATTTACAGCTGTATCTGTTGGTGTACTCGGATCCCACGGTTTCCCATTGTACGATCCTCCACTGTTCCACTTGAATTCACTCATCGATCCGCCCTTCGCTAATTGCTTTATTCTCTTCACCAAATAATCTTGATTATTCGATAATTCCAGGAATTGGACGAGAGTTGGAAGGGTTGGTACTGCTAAAGATTGAGATTGAGCGAGCTTTCTGAGTCTGTCAAGGCCTACATGGCCAGGCTGAGAGTCAGTTAGACCATGACGACTGAGGGCTGAGCACACGTTGTCAATTTCAATTGATACACGTTCGACAACAGTTTTGCTAATCCACTGCAAAGAAAAATTGAAAAATATCAATATTTATTGATCAGTTCATCATCTAGTACTGAATGATAAACAGTCATGAATAAATGGGGGGATCTGACTACAAAATCATTGAGATTTTTTTTCTCTGTGTATCATTTGTGTATGAAAAATCAGTGTAGGCGATTTCTATACTTCAGTGAGGATGGCACGTAACACGTTAGGCCGTTAGGAGCGCCACTGAGATATTGAGCACACAAGTCGGCCGGTAACTTTCCACTAGAGCTATCTTTTCCATATTTCGGCTGAATTTCAAGGTAGTCATTTTATTTGCAGCCGAACAAGTGTTCAATTAGCATATATTTTACGAAACGTCAAAAAAAACATAAAAATCAATTTCCCAATGTTTTGCGATGCGGCAAATGTAAACGTAAGCCTTTAATCTCGCGGATGCTACTTAGGTTGAATTTTTTATGTCGCCTTCCTCATTGATATGAATTCGCATACTTCTATGATTATACTGAAAATTTTTCAATTGACTTGAGTGCACCTGGAAATGTTTGCAAAAAACCAAAATTATAGATGTGACGTTGTGAGTTATATTATGATTTTATATGATTACTAACTAAATCGACGTACTAATCGATCCCAATACGTCACATACATATATGGGAAAAATTCCCATATATCTATAATAAAAAATAATAATTTGAAAAAATGCAAAAGTGAAACAAAATAAATAAAATGAATAAAAATAAATTCCGTATATATTGTGACGTCTTTCGCATCTCTGCGGAACGATGCGAAAAGACGCAGCCCTCGGCGACCAATCTTATCCCGAAAAGTTGGGCGCCAGTACGTTTTCTCTCAAAACGCACAAAAACTGAAATTCAAAATCCATGAAATCAACCAACGAAAGAAAAATTATTTTCAAATGACGGGGTTACAAATTACCACAAAGAAGTCAGAAATGCGGAGTAACCATACATTTAATAAAATGATTCAAAGTCGAAAATCTAATTACAAATCAAATATAATGAATAAAACCCCGTCTTATTCTCGATATTCTAAGCATTCCGTTCTCGGAAATAAAACACAAAAACAAGTTACGAAATAATAAATAAACGATTAAAGACTCAATACAATACAATTCCCTAGCCCCGATACGCCAAACTATAAAATACTAGTCAAGATAAAATAATAATCGAAAGTCGTCAAATAATCCGCAGTCAACAAAAGAAGTCACACGGTAAAATAATTAGTACAATTACCAATGAGTCAAACTAACCGCGGCGCAGAAATCGACTATCACCCCGAGGCAATAGCGTGTCCACCTAAAGTGGCAAGAATAAGCATCCAAGTCAACGGCTATTGAGAGAGGGATTGCCCTGGGAAACGAAAACAACACAGCCGGCAACTGACTAAAGGTGACCCGGCATAAGACAAAACTCGAGCGCCGACATACGCTACAATCCCTCTGAAAATAAGTACAATAATACAACGGTCTTTGAACCAATACGTCGAAAACTAAATGCGATGACTTCAGGTTTTCGGAGGCCGAGAGAAATAATAGAAATACCTCGAAAGGAGAAAATGGTACTTATTTCGAGATTTCGAGAGTCGACAAAATATCAATTAGAATCAACTAAAATTACTGAAATTTATCCGGAGGAAATAAAATACAAATTTTATGAATTAACCGGACAAATTGGTTAACCAAAAATCGGACCCGAAAATTATGACTCAGCCGAACAAGGGCTGAGCTTTGGCCTGAAAATATTACAACTTTAATTGCGAAACTCATTTTTCGCTCATCTTCTTATCCGTACCGGAGTTCTGCTGGAGATCACATGAGTTGAATATAATATTCGTTGAGGTAGGTCTAAATCCTACCTGCCTTCGTATCTGGGTTTGTATTTTGTTTAAGATACCAAGTATTGGAATTGCAACAGGGAAAGGTACTCTTTATATATATGAACTTTACGAGAGTATATGGACTTTACGAGAGGCTGGAGGGGGACGCACAATAGGGGAGAATTGGAAATTTTACCGAACCCCCTCTCCTTGTTGACTAAAATTTTCAACCCTCCCCTATTATACATTCCCCCTCTAACCCCTCTCGAAGTCCCCATTTTCGAGATTTCTTGTTTTTATTTAACAATTTAATTTTTTTATTCAATTGATGCATGCGAACGGAGGGATGGTGGTAGCTCAGATAGACTCTGCAAGCCCCCCTTGTTGGATAACATTTTCAACCCTCCCCTATTGTGCGTCACCCCTCCACCCCCTCGCAAATTCCAAATTCTCAAAATTTGTATTTAAATTTAAAAATTTAATTTTTTTATTTAATTAGCGCTTGCGAACGGAGGGATGGAGTTGACTCGGGTAGATTTTGAAACCTCCTCCCCTTGTCAGCTAAAATTTTCAACCGTCCCCCATTACGCATCCCCCTGCCACCCCTTGTTAAATCACAATTTTCGAGATTTCTTATTTCTATTTAACGATTTAATTTTTTTATTTAATTGATGCATGCGAACGAAGGGATGCGGGAGGCTCAGATAGACTCTGAAACCCCCTTCCCTTGGTGGGTAAAATTTTCAACCCTCCCTTATTATGGGTTCTAGGAGAAATATTCCCCGGAAAATCGTACCCGGAAAATCGTTCCCCGGAAAATCGTACCCCAGGAAATTTGTTCCCCGGAAAAATGTTACCCATTTCTTTTTTTTCTATCTCAATCTTTGAAAATTTCCTCTTTTTACACTGTCTCAATCCTCGTTTTGTTTGCATTCTTATTCCTCTGAATGGCTAGTGTTTACTTCTTGATTCAACTGGTATTTAATATTTCGGTATTATTGTGATTTGGTTGTGAGAGGGGGAGGGGGGCGCATTGAGAGATGTGTTTATCAGGCGTACAGTTGCCAGTGCGGTATCGCTATTCGTAGGGACTTGTTGCATATAATCAATTAGAATGGTGGATATTGCTGCTCGGCTCTGCATTTATGCTGCGGCCCATGGCATCTTATAAATTTTGTCGCAGTAATTCTGGTAGGCAAATGTTGGTGACTGAGAGTGGTTTAGCAAATAAGCAACAATGTCCACCATTTTAATTGATTTTATGCAACAACAAGTCCCTACGAATAGCGATACCACACTGACAACTGTAAGCCTGATGAACACGCTACTCGATATACGATAATACCATCTCTCAATGAGCCCCTCTTCTCCTCTCAAACCCAAATCACAATAATACCGAAATATTACATACCGGTTGAATCAAGAAGTAAATACTGGTCATTCAGAGGAATAAGAATGCAAACAAAACGAGGATTGAGACAGAAAAAAAAAGAAATGGGGAACATTTTTCCGGGGAACAAATTTCCTGGGATACGATTTTCCGGCGAATGAGTTTCCGTGTACGATTTTCCGGGAACGATTTTCCGGGGCACTAGTATCCGGTAACCCCTATTATGCGTTACTCCTCCACCCTCTCTCGAAGTCCCAATTTTCGGGTGGGTGAGGTGTTGCTCCGGTGGACATCCAAGCTACGCAGCGTTGAGCTGGGTTAGTACTTGGATGGGTGACTGCTTAGGAACACCTCGCTCGCACAAAAATTAGGGGCGCTAGGCACGGTGTAGCGGCCTAGTGTCTCCATCTAGTCAGTGTGACAGATGTATACATTAGGGCACTGCACAATCGGCCGGCTGTGTGACTGGGGTTTTACATGGTTTTCCGTGCAGTCCTAGCTCGAATGGGGCACAGCTAAGAGTAAGATGGCCCTGATACCGCAGATAACAATGAGAGGAAAAGTAAAGGAGGGGAGGCAGGCTAGAGGAGGGGTTTCAAATCGAGAACTACTTCGATAAAACCAATGAAATAGAAAAATAAAAAAAATATATATATTCTTTTGGCCGTTGCCCAAGTGAGTTATCGTCAATTTGTGGGTTGGATTATGAGGAGGTTGGTTAGGTTAGGACTTGGCGTTGTAATTGTAGATTTTATAAAGCTCCTTTTATAACATCAAAATGTTTCTTTGGTTTGATACAAATGTGTATGATCTCACCGGTTTGTCTGTTAGTTAGGCTATGAACAGTCATGTCGGTTAAATGAAGCGTTAATAGCACTCTGCAGTGTGTGCTTGTAGTAAGTTGTTAGGCGCCTTACCACTGCGCGGTTAACGTACTATTGTACTGCATGTGTGGGTATCGCATTGCATGCATNACGATTTTTCGTACCAGCCAGAATGGCTGAAATTCCGTAAAACTCAACTTGCCATAACTCGAAAATGGCAGAGTCAAAAATTACGAACCCAGAATGTCCGGGAGAGTCTACCGAAGACAACAATACCCAAAAAAAAATTTTCCCTCAATAATTAGCCGCCTCAGGTTAATTAATCCCCGAGCGGAATTCTAAACGCTAAAATGCCCGCCCGAAGCGAGAATAGCCACATGTAAACGTGGATGGGTATCTGAGGTGAGTTGAGAGTCGGAGGAATTCCCCCTCGAGAAACACGACATACACGCCAGCGAGAATGGGTTGGAAATCCATAAAAAAACACAAATGGAATATCCGGAAATCGGCAGAGCGAATTTTCGGAAACCCTGAGATGAATTACTCAAGGAAGCCCCCCGAACACATTGATCCACAAACCCTAATTTTAATTAACTATCTACGCGAACCAACTCAATTCGAACACGAGTGGAATTTCTTACGCGCAAAAAAACCGACGTATAATGGGAATGGACGCTCTCTAGCAATTAAATGTGAATAATTATCCCCTTGAATAACCCACCAAAAATCACGAAAACCACCCAATCATTAGTGAAAAGGGGGGGAATCGGCACCTCACAATTTGGATTAAGCGTCACAATCACNCCGACGTATAATGGGAATGGACGCTCTCTAGCAATTAAATGTGAATAATTATCCCCTTGAATAACCCACCAAAAATCACGAAAACCACCCAATCATTAGTGAAAAGGGGGGGAATCGGCACCTCACAATTTGGATTAAGCGTCACAATCACCGTT